AAGCACCAAGCACACAGGTGCCAGGGGGGGGGGGGGGAGGCTGGTGATGGCACACTCTCCTCTCCATCCACCTTCATCCTCCGCTCCACCCCCAGTGCCCCATCCCCCCAGGCGCCCGCCACCCGGGCAGCGCCGCATGCTGAGCCGAAATGGAGGCGATGGCGGGTGAGGAGGGGGTGTCTGGGTACAGAAGGCCAAGCATAGGGTGCAGTCCCGGCCCCTCTGGCAGGGTGGGATGGAGGCCAAGCGGGGCCCATGGAGCTGGGCTCATTCCTCACGCTCCGGCGCAGGCGGACAGAGCTCGCCGGAGCAAGGCTAGTAATGGTCCTTCTGGCAGCAGGGTGGATGGGAAGGGGACATGGCCTCCCCTGGGGCCACATGTCCCAGGGGGACAGCTCCCCGGCTTGCAGGGAGTGCGTGGCAGGTGCCCAGCCCCAGGCAGCAGCACTGGGGACAATGCAGGGTGCCCAGAGCTTGCAAACGAAGGTGGGCACCCCTACCCCCACGGGGCATAGCCCCCTCCGTGGTCTGGGGGGGGGGGGGGTCAATACGGCTGAGCACAGTTCCTCCAAATTCAGCCCAAAACAGCCCTGGGAGTGCGAGTCTGTGGGTGGAAGGCTCCAGCTCTGCCCATGCTAGGTGTCCCCCAGGCTGGGACAGGGCTCCTGGCCACCCCGGCCCGCAATGCCAGACTGTTACTAGCCCAGGCCGGCGGCGGCAGGCAGGTGCAGGGGTGGGTGAGTAGCACACGTACCCTTCTCAGGATAAATTTCTTCACTAAGGGTAAACCTAATACCTTTCCCACCATGAACTAGTGGGAAGGAGAGAGAAAGAGACAGAGACACAGCACAGAGTAGACGAAGAGAGGAGGAAGGAGACAACGTGCATGGGAGATGGGAACAGTGAAAGAGGGGGGGAGAAAACAAAGAGAGAGAAAGAGAGATCAGATCTCGCAGACAGATGGACAGCCGAGCATCCGGACAACACTGCAGCGACGTGGGAGTGCCGGGCACCACCCAGCTCTGAGCCCAGGGGGTCCTGGGGCCAGATTGCACCCAGGGGTGCTGGCACCCACCAGACCCAACCCCATGCCCCTGACATGGCTGGCACAGGAGGCACAGACAGGACAGATGTCCCTTGCAGGAGACGCACAGACAGCAAGCGTACGTCCCACTCCCCGAGGACGCAGACAAGCCTGGCTGGGTCACTATGTGATGGCCCATGACTGCCACCGAGCATCTCTGCCCCCTCCTCGAGCAGCCAAGGGACAAAATAAAGGGCAGCATTTAGAGCCAAGGGGTAGTCCTGCCCCGGAAGGTGCCCAGCACCCTGCACCGCATGGCTCTGGGACAGGGGCAGCACCCAAGAGGCACCCGGCACCCTGGACAGATCCCAAATCATGGGGTATGTGGGATACCCAGTGTGCCCAGGACAGGCCCTGGCACAGCATCTGGATCCAGCTGATCCTGCGAGAGGTCTGAGCCCTGGCCAGGCTGGCACCGCTCTGCCGAGACTGGCAGCTCCAAGGCAGCGCTGGACCAGAGGTGTCTGTGCTGGGTGACAGGGGCCATCCAGGGGGGACAAACACTGTGACACGTGGCCAGAGGGTGACCTTCTCCCCCACCCACAGGCCCCATTTCTGTGCCAGCCCAGCCATGCCCTGGCACTGTGGACATGCTCTTCTTGCTGGTGGGGGACTTGGGGGGGGCAGGCTGCCTCTGGGCACCCACGGCCCCTCTTCACCTGC